TTTGCTGTTATGCGATTTTACCACACTCGCAAAATCGCACACAGCCGACCATATAACAAACTCTGTATTTTGAGTGGAAATGTTAGGGGGTCGTCTTATATGCCGAGTCGTCTTATACGCCGGCAAATACGGTATATGTCACCAAGAAAAATCAATTGGTCAGAGGGGAGAAGAGGAAATAAAAGAGCAATAATTTTCTCATGACTATAATTATTTCATAGTGGAGACCAAAAAAAAAAGAACTGACGTGATAATTTTGAAAAATTAATGACAGATTTCAAAATTTCCATTTTGTAAATCATTTCTGAATACTTTACAGACAGAAACTCATCACGAGTGGACTGTACTTGATTGGCAGTCCATGAAAAATCAGCTATTAAAAAAAGAAAAAAAAAGAAATAAAATCAGAGGGTCAGAAAGAAGATGAGTGAATTGCTCAGTTTAAAACTCAAAAAAGAGAAGAAATAATCAAGACAAATGGCCGCCTTCATATGACTATAACCAGTCAGAGTGGGAAAACAGAAACTCTAACACACCGTTAGTGGAGGTGTAAACTGGCCCAAACTTTTTGAATAACAATAAATAGTACATATCATTATTTGAAATGCCCATATCCCTCATCCCAGAAATTCAACATCTAAGAATTTATCCCATGAAGTGCATGCACAAATGTAAAACATATATATGTCATTATATATTTATACATATATATATAAATACTAGATTGTTTAATATAGCATTATTGGAGATTATAAAGCAACAATCTAAGCATCCACTAATGGTGATTGCTTAAATGTATTATGGTAAATCCATGCAAGAAAATGCTCTGTGGTTGTTAAAAGAATCAGGTAGTATTTACTCAAAACTATCAAATTGTACATTTAAAAGAGCCTCATTTTATTGTGTGTAAATTATACTTCAGTATTGACTTTTATAAGGGATTGAGACAGTAATAACAGAGGGATGCCCATTGTATGTTGCTAAGGAGAACCATGGAGGTGTAGACCTAGCACGTGAGGTGCTGTGTGTTGTGATCTCAGGCTTGCGGTGTGTTTGGGGAGTGGGGGGGTGGGGGGCCTGGGGGGCAACTGATACGTGGAAAAGGTCTAGAAAGTGTCCCCAAGTACTCACCAGTGTAATCATGGGAATATGAAAATAGAGAAAATGGGAAAACCTTTAATTTTTACTTTATATAACTCTGTAGAATTTATTTTTTTTATACAGAGCTGTGTAAAAAAAAGATACTGGTATCAACTAACTCACTTTTGCCTTCAGTTCCAGTGTCTCGGCCCGTCCTCACCCTCAGGGCTCCCAGGGACCAGGCTCTGGTGGGAGACACGGTGGAGCTCCACTGTGAGGCCCAGAGAGGCTCTCCCCCGATCCTGTACCTGTTTTATCTGAATGATGTCACCCTGGGGAACAGCTCGGCCCCCTCAGGAGGAGGAGTGTCCTTCAACCTGTCTCTGACTGCAGAACATTCTGGAAACTACTTCTGTGAGGCTGACAATAGCCTGGGGGTCCAGCGCAGTACAGCGGTGCCACTCCGTGTCAAAGGTGAGTTGACCCTTCCAACTATAGCATAACCAGGGACAGACCGTCTCCCCGCCTTCCCCAGCAGCTGAGATCGGAGGTTCCCACAAGGCCATTTGCTGTGTGTTGTCACAGCCGGCCTGCTGCCTACACAGCCTCCATCTGGGAATTCGTCTGTCTTCCACCTTCCCTCTGCTCGCTGTGCATTTCCAGGTGGCAACACTGCAGCCATTGTGATCAAAACACAAACTGCATCTTGGTCAACTGTGGTCCGCAGGGAAGGGAATTATCAAGTTCAGCGTGTCTCACTTCAGAAGACTTTTAGTTGGGGTTTCCTCCATTTGTCAAGCAATCAAAAGGCCAACGCGCTCTCTCAGACTCATGAATGTCTCTCTAGCCCTCCTGCCCCTGTCCCAGAGCAGCTCAGGTCCCGACCCAGAGCTCTTAGTAAAAGACTTCTCAGCATCCTGACCCCTTCCGTGTCCCCGTTCCCGTTTAGCTCCCGCGCTCACTGCCACCTGGCCCTGCCATGGGCTGACCAAGTCCTGCCCAACGCTCCATGCCAGTGTGGCCCTTCACTCACAGTCTTCCTCCCTTCCCCATTCTGCCATCATGCCAGGACTCTAACGTCCACACGATGACCCAGTCGGCACCGTGGGCTGTCGCCCTCTTCACACGAGCCACGCACTCTCACATGCACACACTACACCAGTTATCTGACCACAGTCTCCTGTGCTTTTTCCTGCTTCTACAACTCCTCCCGTCACCGTTGTTCTCATTCCTCCGAGACCCCCCAGTTCACTAACACCCTGTCCCTCCTGACAACGGCACCCTTGTTTCTCAGTGTCTCTGTATCCATCTAACTTGACCCTCCTCTTCCTAAGGAGTGAGGAGGAAGCACTCTGCTCCCTGTGAAAGGTGAGAATCCCCATCTGACTCTCCGTTCCATCCTTCCTCCCACTGTCAGCAACCGTGTACAGCCCGTTCACACCTAACACGCCCCATCTCTCCCACGTCTGAGAAGAACCCTCACTTGGTCCCATGTTTGCCTCCAGCCACATCTCTTACGACTAAGCTTCTAAGAAGAGTCAGCAGCACAGACTGTCTCCATTCCCTCGTTACCCACAAGGTTCTAACCCTCTGGTTCCTAATGACCTTCCCACGNCCCCATGTCACTGAGACACACACACACACACACACACACACACACACACACACACACACACACACACACACACACACACACACACACAGCATTCTCAAGCAAATACGAGACTCTGAATTTAACTTTATTTATTGAAAGATATAAGCAAAAAATAGTCCAATGTAGTAAGCTTTGTACTGATGCATTTAAGATTATAAAAAGGAAGTAAATAATACAAGATACTTTTAAGACAAAGAATTACTTTAGAAAACAGAAAAGATTACCAAGTTTTTCTGGATATACTTAATAAAATTAAAGAAAATATGAACTCTTGGGGCGGGTGGAGGGGGAGGGTACTACAAAAGGAATTTAAAGAAATTAAAGAAGAGATAAGATAACAGAAGAGACAACCAAAAAGAAGTTGTCTAGCAGAGCTCAGGAGAAAAACCAAAGAAAATCACAAGGTTATTTTAGAGATGAAATCCAAATTTAAAGCAGTAAGAATAGAATGTATACTTCTGAAAACTGTTAATTGAATGGGGAATTTGTTTGAGAAAGAAAACATAGAGTGAAAACTGGAAAGGACACAGATATAAAAGCAAGAAGAAAAAATTCTTCGAATACAGAGCTCAGACAATGAGACCCCACATGTGGATAATTCAGTGTCTCTAAGTTCAAAAACCAAACTGAAGAGAAAAACAAGGCTCAAAGATGTAATAAAAGCTTTCCTGAAGCGAAGAAAAGTTGGATATATAGATCAAAAGGTGTATCTTGATGAAGTTACCGAATTTGAGAGTTAAAAATACATGTGTATATGATCATGGCCAAAAAAAAAAAAAAAGTAATCAGAAGAAAAAAATATTAAGTTGGTCTTAATTAGAAGGAAGTGGTGTGCTGTCCAGACTCGCACTCCCAGGGGACGAATGAGACCTGACAATTGTATATCAAACCAAAAAGGTATTCTCAAACATACAGAAAGACGTGGGAATTGAACACCCATTCACCTGCCTGGGAAAATTACTTGATGACAAAACCCGGCCGCCAAAACATGAATCAATATAAAGG